CTTTTTCGCTGAGGAGTACCCCGGTGGTTATAGCGCTGCTCAATTGGCTCGTCATGTGGCTATACAAGTCTTCAAGAGTGGGACCCCGCTTGGTGACTGCCTGTCATGGTCAATTCAGCGCCCACGAGAGAGCACAAGCCCGCCGAGTGGTTTGTTGCCTCTCCCGCAATGGTTTTCGGCAGTCAAGGTCCTTCAGCGGTTCGAGAAGTTGGAGTTTAGCTGGGAAGGCCCGTGAAAGGGGCGACACTCGTAGCAAAGCTTCCAAAGTTCTTCGTCATGAAGGTATGTGCTTGTGGCATGGGTTGGCAGTGGCAGCCATAAACGTGATGCATGGCAATTGGCGGCATCCAGACGGGCCCCAAATGGGATCATTCGCCAGCGAGGCCCAAGAGGAGGCATTGATGCAGATCTGGAAGCAGGTGGAGGTCTTTGTCGACGAGAAGGGCCCAAAAGGTGTGCCCAGAGTCTGTGAACCAGACTGGGCAACAAACATTGATGAGTTGAGAACGTCTTGCGATGGCAGAGTGGTGGAGAAGGCTCATGCAATCACCCTCGACCAGATCCTTCCTGGTCTTCCAAATGTTGGGCCCACATGCATGGTGAAGTTGGTTGACGTGCTCCCAGAAGGTTTGGCCTCCCAACTTTGTCAACGCGAGAAGCTTTTGCATTTAGATCCACCTGGAATGCCGTCGAAGCCCCGAGTCTACTGCTCGGATCAGGAATGGCCTTTGGTTGTGAGCGCACTCATTGAGCGGGGCCTGGTGCGAGTGGTCGACAAAACTCCCAAGTTCGAAGGGCATTCCCTGAGCAATGGGGCGTTTGGTGTGCCAAGAGGAAATGAGTTCACTGACAGTGGGCTCCCTGTCCTCCGTATCATCTTCGATTTGAGGGCAACCAATTTCATGATGAAGCAGCTCAATGCGGATGGCTACAAGTTGAGTGGCGCATCAAGTCTTCAAAGGTGCATCCATGACGATGGTGAAGACTTGCTGGTGTCGGGTGAAGATCTCGTTTCGTCGTTCTTCCTTTTCGAGCTCCCGGACTGTTGGCCCGAATACATGACGCTTGAGAAGCCAGTGATGCCTGAGGACATCGGGTTAAAGGGCAGCTCGCCTTTGTGGGTGGGCCTACGAGTGCTGCCGGTGGGGTTGCACAGCAGGCTGCACTTCGGGAGCTGTCCCTGCGGGATGGAGCCAGGGCTGGACAAGTTGGTGGAGGTCACATCGGAGGATACATACCCTGACCTACAAGTTGAACCACCATGGATAATGTTTGCTGAGGATGCCCTGTGGCCTGAGCAGATCCACAGAGCCGTTGAGGAGTCGTTGGAAGGCCAGACGGGGCAAGTTCAAGGACGACTTCGGCGAGGCTATTCCTGGTTGGGAATCCGGGTGGATAAGGAGAAGGTCCTTTCCCAATGCAACGAAGTTGGAAAGCTGGACGCCTGCATTAATAACAAGAATGGTGTCCCACGGCTTTCAACTCAAAAAGCTTTGGATATGATCGGCCTTGGTTGCTATCTGCGGGGCTTGAGGTCATTGCCGAAGAAGGCCTTACAAGTCTGGGCCGGTCAGGCTGTGCATGTTGTCAATAGAGGGTGTGTTTCCGAGCATCCTGGACGATAGGGCTGAGACCAAGTGGACGATGGGCTTGCTACAGGAGTTCCTGATCGTGGAGGTGTCTTCTCCCTCTGGCTCAGACCAGCCTCAAGGCACGTCTGGATCCTGTGGTTACACGCTCGGACACGTCTGAAACAGGTGGAGGTATGATGTATGCATCCAGGTTGACATGGTCGGATAGGAAGCAAGCTGATGCCTTGCTTGGTGGTGAGCCCCAGCTCGGGGTCACCGATACGACCGTTTTGACAGGATCTACTTTGGTTGTGAATTTGTTCGCTGGTATTGGCGGCCTGGAAGAAGCCCTCAAGAGAGCAGGAATTGGCAAACACTACACGGTTTTTGTGGAGGTGAGCAGAGAGTGCAGACGGTTGCTGAAGAGGCGCTACCCGGCCATGCACATTGTCAACGACATCAAGGAGTTTGGAAGAGAAGTTTTGGAGAGGGCATTTGAGATGTGCCCAAATGCCGAAGGAATCATTGTTGGAGGGTGCCCTCCTTGTCAGAGCCTTGGTGTCGCGCAGGGCCAGCTTGAAGAGTCGGGCGAATCAGTGCGCAAGTTTTTCCCCGACGTCGTGAAGGTCTTCATGGTGGTCGATGAGGTTGCAAGAGAAAGAGGCATCTGGACATTAAAGTTAATGGAGAATGTTGTAACAGCTTTGGATGACCTGGAACAGATGTCGGTGGCCCTGAAGATGAGGCCGGTCATGGTTGACAGCGGTGACATTATTCGAGCCAGTCGCCCAAGAATGTACTGGGTTTCGAGACCCATTCAGAGCAGAAGTATTTCGATTGGAAGACTCACGAGCTTTTTGACAAGTTGATCATCAAGGGGGGTTGAGACAGAGCCGTGAGGCCAGAATGTGAGTGGCCGGGAGGAGAGGCGGATGAGAACTTGAGGTTCCTGTCATTCACAAGGCCGATAAAGAGAGAGGAACCTCCTGATGACGATACTGGTCTGCGGTCCGCCTCGCCAGGCGCTCAAGCTCGGTGGACAAGAGATGAGTTTAGATACCCTCTTCGCGCCTATGCTCAAGAGTTCATGGTCGAGACTCAGGTACCTGAGGTACGACCGCTGGTGGCTGAGGAAAGAGAAGTGCTCATGGGCTATTCGCGTCACCACACACTGGCTTTGCTGAAGAGGGCACCAACCACGTTGAACGAGAACCAAGTGGCTGAGGACGTGATGTGTACGGTAGTGGGCGATGCGTCTCATGTTACCATTTTGGCAATTTTGCTGGATCAAGTCCTAGGCGCCATGAGGCTAAAGGGCATCAAAGGACCAGTGCAAATTGCACAGAACCACATTGAAGAGGCGATGAAACGGTTTGTGCAGGTCAAGCTGGAGCAGGAAGCCGAGGAGGCAGTTGATGAAGGCGCGCATCCGAGTGAAGCGTTGAAAAGCCGCAGGGGCCGCAAGGAGGAGAATGAAAGCGCCGCGGAGTTGCTAGCAGCTGAGGCGCTACTAAAAACCTTGGATAGCAACCTGAAGTCGTGGTCAACAGAAGATCAGCTCCTGCAAACTGAAAGGCGGCTGAGCACAAAGCTTGTGTCAGCGCTTGTAAAGAAACAGGAGTATAGAGGCTCAGGCACCCAATTGGAGCTCAGCACTCTATACACGCCAGACTCCTTCCCCCATGCCGAGTTTGATGTGAACCGGTGGCTTTGGCATGAAGGGCAGAGTTACGTGTTCTTGGCCCCCGAGAAGGAGGCCTTGATCTTGAGTTTGACATGGAGGCTGCAATATCCAAAGTTTGTTTTCTGTCGAGCTCTGCACTTAGTCGACAGTCCAGTTGTGCTCGCTTTGGCCATGAAGGGCCGATCCTCGTCCTACGTCTTGAATGGACTTCTTCGACGATATGGAGCGCTGCAGTTGGCTGGAAGAATTTACCCGGTCCTGGGCTGGGTGAAGAGTGATCAGAACCCGGCAAAAACAGCAGCCAGTCGACGCACACCATGAGTCTTCAAAAGAAGATGCACAGAGCTTTGAGCGAAAAAGATGTATAAAAGGGGGCGCACCCTGATTGTCTCACAGGATGTGGTTGTCAGGTCCAAAGAGACTTTTGATAACGTCAAAATGGTTCTACCAGATTCTCTTCGGTCAACTTGGGACCAGCTACTGTCCGCAGTAACTGTTGTGTACATTAATTATCTGCTCCACGAACACGCACTTTTCTCTTTTTGTTTGTGGATCAGCGCAAACACGTACCCTGGAAGGAATACAAAGATGTCCATGCTCGGTTCGTGGTAGAAACGAGCAGACAGTGTTTTCTTTAGAGGGGGGTACCCGATGATAGAGCTCCTGGAGACTACCTCCCCCTAACACTTCAACCTCTTTTCTCGAGTCCGTGGACGCGGAGTTTCTGAGACGCTTACCTGAGGTTGACTTGAAGTCTGACCCGGAAATTTCTTTTCTTTTGTATTTTTAGCCTTTTATCTAACCTCTTCCTCTGTCTCTAGTGTGGTGTCCTTGTTGCGTACAGCAGCCACACCACAACGGACCAATACCTAAAAGGAAGGTGCATTGCGTTGGCAGAAGCGGGTTGTGACTTTTGCCCGAAGACACGAAGACACGAAGACACGCGAAGACACGCGAAGACGCGCGAAGACACGAAGACCCGAAGACACGAAGACACGCGAAGACACGAAGACACCGAAGACGCGAAGATATGAAGACACGCGAAGACACGAAGACACGAAGATACGCGAAGACACGCGAAGACACGAAGATACGCGAAGACACGCGAAGACACGAAGAGGCTTCAGGTCTTCAAGGCTTTCAGGTCGTCACTAGGCTTCAAGTCTTCAAGGCTTCAGGTCGTCACTAGGCTTCAGGTCGTCACCAGGC